ATTCTAGAAAGCCGTCATTTTACCATTTGTTTGGATTGGTTGGAGAGAAATCTGGGGAAAGATAAAGAAAGCGCTTAAAGAAATCAAAGAACAATTTTTTATAAAGGTTAACCGCTTTCGAGAATCATAGTCTTATGTGCGAGTTCGAGAGCTCAAAATATAGGTTATTAGCTATTAACTAATCCTACGGTTTATGTGCAGGAGAATCTTTCACTATTTGCTTCTGTTTGATGCCACTACTTGAAAAAACTTTCTACTCCTACCTGGTCAGCTCTTCTCAGTGATCTATTGATTCTTCGACAAAGTTCCGGACCCGAATTGGCTGGGTACAACGATTGATCCGGGTACATATCACCAGCCGTGTTTGCATCAGCTGCCACTTGCCAGCCTTCAATTAATTAGGGAGTAGTGAGAAAATTCTTGCGTACAACTATCACAAATGTTCCTCAAAGAAGGTCAAAAACATCTAGTTTTGTACCCGATAGGTAGATAGCTTTTAATCCAGCTCTGACCATTTGTACCGCTTGATTTCCAGTTTGAGCACCTAACGCAGGCACGAAAGGTTCGGTGTGAAGGAGTTGCCATAACTAAGGGTTAAGTAGGGTAATCATTAACAAAGGGTTATCAATTTAAGTTCAATAATGAAAAGTTGAAAACTTACCTTATTAGCTCCTCTCGTAGCCAAAGTGTATTCAATTTCAACTGATCCGCGTAGTTTAAGCACATCTTCGACCTAGAATTTGGTGTTCTTTTAGGCTCAGATCAGGTCAAGAGGAAAGGGTTATATTACCTGATAGTCTCTTGTAATCCCTTGAAAACGTCCTTTAGGGGCAGCTTTGATAACCTATAAGTGTAAATAGACTTAACTTATAAATCAACATAGGTATCATAGACCCTGAATCAGTACCTCGTAATTTGAAAAATATATTTTTATAGGAGGGATTTTATCACTGTAAAATAGTTTTTAGAAGATTTACGCCATAAAAATAGTTTCCTGATAAGGTAAGGACAGTGAATAGGCAATAAAAATGTTCCTCTCGCTAGC